CGAGGGCGCGGGGCAATTAGACAGCAGAACAGGCAGCCTGGCGTTTTTCTACGCGGTCCAATTATCGACGCTGGACAGACACCAACCAAGAAGCACTTAACCTTGACATATCCTGCAGAGGCGTTGATTTGCTGGCGAGTGGAACCGATCCCAGGGACGCCACGGCCTGCCACTGGCGACTTCTGAGACGGGAACGTCACTCCGTAACAAAAGTCATTAAATAAACAACAGTACGAGTTCCTCGGTCGACGGAGAGCGCGGAGATAAATGGTCTTCTGCGTTGTTGCGCCCTGCAGTCTCGTGGAAACTGACAGACGTTTCGGAGGTGCTTCCTACCTCCATCATTACAACAACCATTGGGGCAGCCAGCGCCTTCATTGCATTTGGCTGCTCAACACACTTTCAGTACCAGAGGCTGCAGACATCACCTGCGGCCGCTACTACCGTGGGACTAGGTACGACCCCGCGCGCGATCAATGAATCGGTTCCCGCGTTGACTAGTCCAGCCGGCACAGCCACTGACCAACACCTCTTCGAAGCAAGGACTCTGTATGCCTCTTCGATGGAACTGCACTGCTGTGCGAAGAGGACGTGGTCGTGGCCTGTCGCTAATCGCTGGGCTGATGTGATGTGACAGCTTGTCCTACAAGAAGATCCGATGTCCCGAAGTACCGAGACGGGGCCTTCCTGGGCCTCGGTAAAAACCAAAAGGCACGCACCCTTCAAGGTCGAACTGAAATCCCACACGATGGCTGGTTCATTGAGAGCCACGGCAAGCGTAGGCCGAGTCGTCTAGCTGGCTGGCCTTGTGTGGACGATGGACCACTCCCTGAACAAACCGTCCTACAGTGACGGACTGCCGCTGCAAACTTTGAAGCTTTCGTCGTGAGTTCACTCCGAACTTTTGAGCAGCTGAGCGACTGTCAGCTTGCTAAGAAGGACTCTGCTCCAGGGGGTTATAAGTTTCTAACACAACGTTCACGTGGCAGCCAACACTGTGGCCATCCCATAATCGATGGCTGGAACTGGTCACAGGTTCCAGAATCGGCCGCGTTAGTCTGTAAGCCAGCTCACAACACGACGTGGCCAACATCATCTTCCTCTCCATGGGCTACCCCATAACCAGAGACCACGAACTTCTTTTCAGATGGGCTGACCAGTGTGTGCTGCCCAACTAATACCGACGTCACACACAATTCATTTAGGCAAAGACGAGATGTGACGTCAGTCGTTTCGGATGTTGCGCCGTGTAGTGTGGTAGAAACTGACCGACGTTTCAGAGGAGCTTACATCATCGCCCTGATGTTTCAGGCAGTGACCTCCTCTGAAACGTCGATCAATCGTTCCGAAACTGCACGGTGGTACGTTCGAGAAGACAAGCCATCTTCATCGAAAGATACTCCTCGTTCGAAGCAAGACAATTCTCGATCAACGAGATCAACGTACGCCACTGACGGTCCGCGCCGACGCACACCTGTGTCTCCACACACGAAGCGGCCAGACAGAACGGGACCAAACTGGAAACACGATGCAGGTCGCTTGAACTCCGCGCGATTCATCGAAAAAGATTACGAACGTCACTTTCTTCAACATCGCTGAACAGAGCTGGATGTTCCGCCTGCAGTACAATAATTCAGCCAGCGTCCCACGCGGCGTTAGGTGTGTCCGGCTTCAAACCGCGTGTTGAGCCTCCCATCGCCAAAGAGTAAATACATCCCGAGAATGCTAATGACGGAAATGAAGCCTTTCAACAAACCTACGACGCACTTCTTCGCTCTGCTGAGATTAGTGTGCGCTTACGTCCTCAGCTTCCGCTCTGAGGGTCCGTCAACCTTTTAAGTTACAGCAGAGAGGAACAAGTTCGCCCCCGTGGAGTGTCCGTGAGACGGGCCATCTTGTTATGTTCCCATGGTCCACGGCGCCGAAGGCGACTGCCTCCGCGTCTTCTGAGCAGGTGCACGTCCGTCCGTCCGTCCATGACTCATTCAAATTTTGACCAACGTGGAAATATACGTCATGACATTGGACATTCGTGCCATGAAAAGACGGATTTTCAAGAAATGTGGTGTGCGCATCATACTGACGCTGAACTGTCTTCAGATGCGTATAATCCGAAACTTTCGGGGCGACAAACAAATTCTTCAGCCGTTTAGCGCAGAACCTCAAGTGTTTCGTAGTTTTTGTCTGCATTTCCCAGCCCTTCCACGCACATCATTTGGCGGGTAAACAACACACTTGATGCACCATCATTAAACAATCAATGAGCCAACAAGCCGTTCTGCTGGCGTGGGTCGAGGTCAAGCCAGCAAGGTGTGGGATCAGGGCACCGCCACTCACACTGAATCCTCAGTGAGCATGCGCGGAGACTTGGCTTAAAGCCATTCA